TAATGTATTTTGCTGCAGAAAACATACACTTTTATTTAATGTTTATTAAAATGACACTTTAAAATACTAGTTAATGATTGAAATATTGGTATGGAACACAGAAATAGAGTGTTTTGTCAAAAATTACCAAAAATTGCCAAGATTCGAGATAACTTATTTTACTGGTTATAGAGAAATAATTGCCACTTTTCACTTGGCTGGCCGAGATTTCTTCATTTTAAGATTTTAGAATTTTTGTGTTGGATTGACAAAGTTGCGCTTGTTGGTGATGAATTTGCGGGGAGATGTGCTGCGGTTGTTTTTATGAATGAATTTACTTGGCCTTGAGAAATATGCGAATGCGTTTATGAATGAAATAGTTATTGTTGTATTTGAGTATACGTGTAATTATGTGCATATGTATGTATGCTGCCGTGATTTGTATATGTACATATATGTACATTTATATGCATGTTCGTAGTTTTTTTTGGCAGTAATAGGCACATACATATATATGCATGCAAAAACGTTATCAATTAATGGAGCATGTACACACGTATGCGTAGAAAATGCATTTTCATTTGACTCCAAAACTATTGGGGCATATTAGTAGACGAAATAAAGTCGACTCTTAAGTTAAAGTTTGTCAGCCCCAAATAAGAAGAAAGTTAGTATGTATGTACATACATATATGTAATATTATGTGCATGTGCAAGAACGTTATCAATAAATGATTTTGGAGTATGTGTATTGGGTACATATGTACATATGTACATACATACATTCAGATGCGATCAACTAATTAGCAAGGAAATTCAATATGATATTGTTTGCAAATTAAGTTTATTTATTTTTAATGATTTTGATTTAAAATATTACTCAATCTGTAACAAGAACCACAATAATAAAAGTTTAAAAGCTTGCACAAATTGCAAAAAAACGTATCAAACTTCAAGAAATGGTCATCCAAATTTTTAATTATAATATTTAAAAAATTTTCGGGTATTGTACTCCATTCAATTACAGTATAAGTGCAAGTGCAAACAATATCATTTTGAATTTCGTTGCTAATTAGTTGATCGCATCTGTGTGTAGGTACTACAAGCATCCATATGCGCATGCCTAATAGGAAGTAAGTTAGTTGCAGCTTTTTTCACAGATACCTATTCCACTGGAAATGATGTGAAAAAGCTGTAACTAACTTTAGTATCAACTTTATTTTGACCATGAATGAGCCCCATTATTTACATGTAACACGAGTATTGCAGTTGAAAATCATCATTCAACACATTGGTCCGTATGCATAAAAACTAAGCAATTGCTTTTACTTAAAATTTCATAAGTTTCACTTAAATTTATTTGATCAAATCGAGTAAAAGGTCTGAGATTTTAAGAAAAGGTGTTTGCTTAGGTTATATGCATATGGCATATTTTCTCGAAATAAATGTTCATAAAACTCAAACATAACTTTTCGAGAAAAAACCACTTTGCAATTGATGCTTTTGTACGTTTTTGTCAATGTATCCATCTTTGAAGTGAATTTACTAGCAAGAAAACTGCGGTTTGTTGCATTGAAAGCAGCGTAGCAATCGTTAAAAAATATAAACTGATTTTTTCTTCGCTTTTAAATGCCGACAACAAATTACCAAAGAGTACGCATTTGTAGGCTTTTTTTGTCAATGTGTCCATCTTTAAAGTGAATTTGGGAAAAAAACTAAGGCACCTAGAAAACTGCGGTTTGTTGCATTGAAAATAGCGCAGCAACTACAATAAGAATCGTAAAAAAAAAAAAACCATTTTTGCGACCCAAATGCCGACGGCAAATCACCAATGAGTTTGCATATTTGCATAGCTTTCACATATTTATTAGATAACAAATCTACGTTTTGGAGTTAAAGCATTCCCAGGCATATATTTTCGTAAATTAATTTTCATAAATTTAACCAAGAATTTTCATCTTTTTTTTTTTTATTAAATCAATGCCGCGAAAAAGAAAATCCAAACCAAAGCACTTAACATTGATACAAATTAACAAAATTGTATCTCCGCTCAGCTCTGTTAACTTGCCGCTCAGATCTGTTAATTTTCCGCTCTCAATTTTCGATTCGAGTGGTGAGCTTCCAGAGCGATTTTGGTAGTGTTTGACAATTCACACGGCTATTCGTAATTGCTGCTTCTCTGTTTTAGACGTTCTCTGTAAACGTTCTCTGCGAATATTATCCATAACGCAATAAGAAGTGAGTTCAAGATATCAGATACATGCAACCCAGTAGGGAAAGCTCCCGAATTGCATTGGTCTAGATAGTGATAAATAACCATTACTTTTTCAGTATTTACATAATTAGTTATATCACATTAAATATTTATACATACGTATATTTCACCACGTATATAAAAGTGAAAAGTGTTTGTGATTTTTTTTCTCGTACTGAAATTTTTCAAATCCATATTCCGCGGATTTAATTGGGACGATCCGTTTTCCACGTAATAAAATGTGCTGAACCAAAAATTAAAGCAAATATAATTTCACGTAATTTGCAAGAAACAAAAAACACAAACACCGCCACAAAATCTTAAAATTCTTTTCCTGATTTTCTGTGGCACAAAGTGCAATTTTTACTCGTTTGACATACATTTTTCTAATTTTTGCTGGGTGGTACTCAGTAAAATTTGATACATTTTTCTCTCAATTTTTATACGTGTGACCTTCCACAGCATTAAAAATGCCACTTGGACACAGTCCACCAAAAATGTCTGAAATTGAGACAAGGTCAAAAACTGCTTCGCAAGAAGCCACCGGTGGTAAGAGGGAACCCTCACCGCGCCCGAAATCTAAAACTTTTGACCCATCCGCTCAAAAGTTTATAGCGGAAAGTGACAGTATCATGAGATACTGTGCAAGATTCAGTGATGCACCGATCCAAGACCACACTGAATCATATCTTATTATAAAAGACAAATCACTAGATGATTGTTGGGCACGGCTTCAGTCCGCCTATGATTTGGTTTTTTCAAAGCCAGATGACAGCCTACCCGAAAACTTTAAGAGTTCGGTAGAAGGCAAGTACTTCACTTGCCTTGAATTATATGAGGTGACCAAAGCTATAATTGCCGATCAACTGTCGTTGATTAAAGCAATCGCCGCACCGAGTCCACCACCCCGCGTGGAACACACCTCGGCAGAGGCAAACGTTTTTCTTCAAGTCCCACCTTGTGACACGGAGACATTTTACGGCGGTTACGAAGAATGGCCCGCTTTTCGTGACATGTTCACAGCGGTGTACATCAACCACCCGAAGCTCTCCCGTGCTCAAAAACTGTATTACCTCCGGTACAAAACTCAAGGAAAAGCCGGTTCCATCGTCAAGCAATACCCGCTCAGCGATGATAACTTCGAGCTGGCCTGGGAAGCTTTACGGTCACGATACGAAAACAAACGTATCTTGGTTGACAACCAAATTAAAATTTTGATGACTTTGCCGACTATTCAATCCGAGAATAGCGAGCAACTTCAAAGGCTGCAAACATCAATTAACAACTGTCTGTCAGTTCTTAATTCCCAAGACGTCCAGACAGACAGTTGGGATCCCATATTGGTGTACATTTGCTCATCCAAATTGCCCGAAACCACACTGTCACTTTGGGAACAATCTCTCTCTTCTCGAAGAGATTTACCCTCATGGTCACAAATGGACGATTTTCTTACTTCAAGATACGAAGTAGTCGAAAGACTTAACCGGCTTCATCCAAGCCAAAATAAACAAAAACCAGTCGCTCATCAAAATGCTGCGCAAAACAGGTCCTTTAACAGGACTCAAACCTTTGTGGCAGAACCTAAGAGGGAACCAACTTGCTCTTACTGCAAGTCCCCTCATCCCATTAGAGTCTGCCCACAATTTAAGCGAATTTCGGTACCGAACCGAGTACAATTCGCAAACCAAACCAAGCTGTGCAAAAACTGCCTTGGTAATACCCATAGCACTAATGAGTGTCCGAGCAAGTGGTCATGTACACATTGCCAACAACGGCATCACTCCCTGCTGCACATGAATCCCAAACCACAATCTCGTCACTCCAGTGCGCGAGCGAATGAAACCGCCGCACAACACACTACTGCCCAGTCGACACCTCCCGCTCGACAAGCGCAGTCAAGCTCCGATTCCAGCGAGCAACCGTGCTGTTCCAAACAAGCACAAATACAATCATTGCACACCGACAATGATAGCAAAATTCTCCTTCCAACTGCCATAGTCGCAGTTGAACACGAGGGTGAATTGTTTCAACTTAGAGCCCTGATTGATCAAGGCTCACAAAGAACTTTCATTTCCTCGAAAGTTCAAAAACGGTTGAAACTACCATTCGAACATTCCAAGTTCGAAATTTCCGGCATGGGTGGACATGTAGTACAAAGCTCCTCAAAGCTTTGTCCACTCACATTGGTAGCACCAAAAACCATGCAACGGATAAACACACAGGCTATCGTGTTACCTCAGCTCACGAGGCACATGCCTACATTCACCATTAGCCGTGAAAACTGGCAGCAATTCAAGATCCTTGAACTTGCTGACCCAAGCTGTCACATACCAGCTCAAACTGACATGGTAATCGGCAGCGATATACTTCCACAAATCCTGCTGGAAGGTATACAAAATATTTGCGACACTATACTTCAAACAATATTTGGCTGGATTCTCAGTGGTCCAATAACCGAAAATGTGGTGTCATTCTCGACACAAGTAGAAGAGTGCTCGAATGCAACTCTCAGCTCTCAGCTTCGAAAGTTTTGGGAAGAGGAGGGGATTCCACAACCTCCACAAATTTCCCCTGAAGATCAGGCTTGTGAGCATATATATGCAACAACAACGACTCGTGCCCCAAACGGTCGATACATTGTGCGACTTCCATTCAAGGAAGAATTTCCAAAAAAGCTGTCTCTGGGCAACTCTCGGTCTGCTGCACTTCAGCAGTTTTTTAGCATGGAGCGATCGCTTCAGAAAAAAGGAGACTTAGGCACAATGTACAACAATGTGTTGCAAGAATATCTCGACCTCGGTCATATGGAGCACACGAAGCCATGTGAGATAGTAGCTAATGGCAAATACTTCTCATTCTACTTGCCACACCATGCGGTCGTCAAACCAGATAAGGTAACCACCAAAGTTCGCGTGGTATTCAACGCCTCAAAAACATCTGGTTCAGGAAAATCCCTGAATGACGTGTTGCACACTGGTCCCACACTCCAGCCAGATCTCATGCTGCTCATTCTGCAGTGGCGAATGCACAGATTCGTGTTCAATGGCGACATTGAAAAAATGTATCGTCAAATACTCATCCATGAGGACGATAAAGATTTTCAGCGAATCTTATTTCGCAGGTCGGCTGACTCCCCTGTCACCGATTATAATCTTAAAACCGTAACGTTCGGGGTTAATTGTGCACCATACCTCGCTATCCGTACCCTGCATCAATTAGCAGATGATACGATAGCGACATTTCCCTTGGCTGCCACAATACTTAAAACCGAAACGTATGTGGATGACATCCTATCCGGAAGACATGATATTGACAACGCCACTGAATCACTTCTTCAAGTGATCAAAGCGCTTAAGTCAGCTGGTTTCATACTCAAGAAAGTAACGGCCAATCATCCGGCCATCTTAGAAAAATTTCCAAAGGAGGATCTTCTCGACTACAACTTTTTGAAATTTGAGAGCGCTTCCACAACCAAAACTCTTGGTATACAATGGAACGCACTCACCGATAAGTTTTCCTACACCATTCTGCCTGCATCGACATCGAATGCCGTCACAAAGCGACAAATCTTATCCTCTGTCGCAAAACTTTTTCACCCGGCAGGATGGCTATCGCCAGTGATGATTCAAGCAAAGATTCTTCTTCAAGAACTTTGGCTAGATGGTGTTGATTGGGACGAATGTGCCAAACCTATATCTTTAGCAAAATGGCAACAGTTCGCAGAAAATCTGCCAGCTATCTGCCACATCGAAATCCCTCGATGGGTTAATTTAACTCCGGGGCAAGATACCCAAATCCACGGGTTTTGCGATGCCTCGGAAAAAGCATATTGCGCTGCGATTTACTTCCGCGCAGATGCTAGCAACTAAAGATATTCCACTCTCTTGGTTGCAAAAAGCAAAGTCGCACCATTGAAGACGGTAAGCTTGCCACGCCTAGAGCTTTGTGGTCCAGTCTTACTCGCAAAACTGGTCGCAACTGTTGGAAAACAGCTCAAATTAGAATCGTGCAACACATTCTTATGGTCAGATTCAGAGATTGTGCTAGCTTGGCTTGAAAAGCCACCATGTACATGGAAGACGTATGTATCCAATCGTACCTCTCAAATCCGGGAATATCTTCCAACCGGTGCATGGCGCCATGTTTCCAGCCATGATAATCCAGCCGACCTCGGCACCCGTGGGTGCAAACCGCAGGATTTGGCGAATTCCCCACTCTGGTGGCACGGACCAAAATGGCTCTCTTGCCACATGGATGCATGGCCAAGGTCAAAGGCATGCAGTGCATCTCCACCAGAAAAACGCAAGGTGGAGGTATATCACGCGCTCGAAGAAGAGGTCGATTTTCTTGATCTCTTTTCTTCTTTCTCTCGAGCACTCCGCGTGAATGCGTACATGTTCCGCTTCGTGAGCAATGCCCGCAACAAATCAAAGGGGTTAGCTACAATCACCTATCCGCATCTGACACATAACGAATTTCAATATGCAAAAATTCGTCTTATCAACGCAGCGCAATCACGCCATTTTCCGCGCGAAAAAAGCGCTTTGCAAGATAAAAAGCCACTTAACAAAAAAGTCCTCTTATTGTTCTCAATCCTTCGTTGGACAAAGACGGACTTTTACGGGTTAATGGCCGATTAGCACATTCCACATTAAGCTATAATGAAAGGCACCCAATAATTCTCCCTACCGAATCGAGGTTCTGCCAGCTATATTTGGAGTTTTTACACTCGCTGCTTCT